CTAATGTCCTAATTGATGCCTATTATAGCCTTGTAAATAATAAGGAGATACTGACCACAGAACTAGGAGAGGCAGAGCAATCTAGAGATGATCTAGTAGTCTGTGTAGTGGACTTAAATGAAACCATAGCTAATCTTGAATTAGAGAAGGAGGCCCTGAATGAAAAAATAACCAGTGTGGAGAATGAGAGAGACGATCTGATGGTAGTAGTCGTTGATCTAAAAGAAACAATAGAAGGTCTTTGCAATAAGAAGCACTCCTTAGAAAACATTGCCTCCACTGAGGAGGAAAGAGATGACCTTCTAGTGATATGCACTGATCTAGAGGAAACTATTGAGAGACTCAATAGATAACATAGGAATGTAACTCCTGGGAAAGGGAAGGAAGTAGGCAGCGAGTCGCACATCCTACTCGAAAAGGAGTTAACTGCTGTAAAAACCTGTCTTTGCAATGAACGCGAGAGAAATCAGCAACTCCAAGCTGAGTTGGAGAAAGTAAGAAATGATATTGAAAAATCCTTGAAATGGACCTGGTCCTCAGATGCAGTCATTGCCATGTATCTCAACAATAGTGGGAACAAGCAGGGCATCGGGTTCCAAAGGGAGAAAACTCCCTACAACCCACACAACAAGTATGTCATTGTACCTGATAACTGGCTGTGTACCCACTGCGGAAACAATGGGCATTTTAAAGAAAATTGCCAGGCCAGGGTTCAGGCTGCTCAGAAGAACAAAGCATTTACTGATAGAGTGACTACGAGCAAAGGATTAGGTACCACTCGCAAAAGCGGATGCTGCCTGCATGGACCAAGAAGTCCCTCATTCATCCTTTTTATAGTAACAAGGGACCCAAACTAGTTTGGGTTCCTAAATCTAACCCCTGATGTGTATGTGCAGGGAGCAGTGAGAGGAAGCAGACTGGATGGACTATGGACAGTGGATGCTCAAAGCACCCCGCATCATGAGTTTCTTCTCACTGAAAGCCCTGTAGGAAGGGAATGTATCCTTGAAAAGAAAATAAAGGGTACATTCTTAGTGTATGAAAAAGTAGAAAAGGTTCTTCTTGGTAGGTGAATAGAGACAAGCACTATGTGAATGACCTAAAAGGTGTTGTCATCAATCTGATAACTAGCCAAGTAGTATCAATAAACAAAGGAAGCAAGATCAGTCACTTCTACTAAATTGGAGAATGCGATGAGGAAAATCACAATCATGGGATGAAGGAGGAGGAGAAGGAATCTTGCACAATTTCTTAAACACCAAGGATTGTATAACTAAATTGGCGTAGCAGAAAGAAAGAAAGGATCTAAAAGAATTGCTAAGTGAACTGTGCTCATCGTCTAGGGAATCACCAAGAAACTCCGGGCAAAAGAAATGAACATTGCCTTCTACTGGGAGAACAGGTGTCGGACCAGGTGCCTCCTAAATCAAAACTCACCAGGAGTTGCCAAATTGGAAGAAGATACCTTGTGCTTGACAACAGGAAGGGTCAGCTTGGGGAGCTCAATGCAAAAGTACGAGCTAAGAACTTCCTCTAGAGTGCAATCCACAAAACAAGGCTACAGGGTCTCCAACAAAGGAAGCACAAAATGGCAGGAAATGTTCATTGAATATTCCATAGGGCACTCTCCCTCTGTCAAGAAAGAAACCGTGAGGATTAATATGATGAACCAATCCTGTCTCTGGGAAATGCCTGAGGCTTCAAAATCAAGAAGATGACAAAGTGAACAAGGTGTAGAAGACTGGAGAGAAATGACAAACACACTGAGAGGTGAAATCCTCTTCTGAGGGTCAAAATGAAGAAAGGATTGATCAGTGGAAAGGAGTGCATAACAGAAGACCAAATTTCAGACATCTGCATCAAAGCCTCAAGTAGAGAACTTTGGATCAACCAAATGTGAAGATGGAGTTACAAGGACCAAATGAAGAACCTGATCCGCCATCAGTTGGTTATGGAAGACAGCACCGGGTAAACCAGCTAAAGTGTTTTCTGACCAAGCCTAGCTCACATCAATATCGTTGTAGGTAAACACGCATGACGATCATAGAAGCTAAAGGCACATGTGTGAAAGGTGAAGAGAGAGGAGCAACCAAAAAAAAAACTTATTCAAAAAATTTGTTCTGGCATCAAGTCCATGTACCCCAGGTTAGTAGTAATGTGCTTAATTTTGCATGCCATTTTCTAAAAAAAAAAAAACATATAAATATTTTGTGACTCAGCTGCCACATCACTCGACTTTTCAGCGTCTGTGTGTCATGTCTTGTCTGTCAAATCCCTTCATCTCCTCTGCACGGTAACACTTCCCCACAAATCTACCGCGATTTTTAAAACTATTCAGAACCTGTTTCGCTCTCCACTCATCATCAGTTCTTTTTCAATAAAATTCTTCTTCTATCTCACGGCAAGTCATGAACTTTCATCCCCTTTGTAGAACCAGGATCCTCTTCTTATCTGTCTCTTTTCTCTCCTTGCTCATCTACCAAGCTCTCATCTAATGGCGATTTAACAATCATGTCATTCTACCACCATTAGCACCGCTTCCACTTCACTATCACCTTTGAAACCATTCCCTGAACACCACTATTTCACGCCGTCTACCACCTTCCCCGCTCTTGATTCCTCCTTTACTCCTATAGTTTTTCCATTCCTGATAAATCATGTCTACCATTATCTTGGGAACCCTATGACTAGTCAACCCTATGATCTCATCAAGGACCACACAGAAAGTTTTACTCCTCAAGTGTCAGAAGTCCCTGAGGATGATCCTGATCAGTATTTGAACTCATCTATGTTGGAATCAGCGACTCCTAAGGAGTCACCAGAAAAGGAAGCAACTCATAGCATCATGGCTATAGCTGCTGAGAGATTGATGAATGAAGGAGAATATCTCTTGTCTGAATAACAGGGGGAAGAAATTCCATTCCTAGAAGATATAAGAACTACAGCACTCCTAGAGTCGTTAGCTCATGAGATACTCTCAGAAAAGGCTCCCGATGAACCCGATTCTTTTTCATGCAAACCCACTCCTGCACCTCCTGTTCATTCCAAGCTCTTGGAGTCCTCCTCAAAATCACCCATTCCCAGGTCACTTTAGCAAGAGAATTCTGAATCCTCATTGCAGAAAAGTAAGAGGAGTGTCAAGACAAGGAAAAAGAGGAAAATGAATCCAAAGGAGTTCATCAAGAGTGTGTCAGTAAGCTGATCAGACAAAGATGCTTCAAGGGAACCTGGTTCATCAGTGCAACAGTCTATGACAATTAAGGAAATTGCTAAGAACAGAAAGGGTCATCTGTGAAAAATAGCTGCAAATCTAAACGGAGTCCAACTGAGCTAGCAGTGTCTGAAGACAATACTGTGGGGGCAGTAGGCTGAAAAGGAAAGTCTGCTGAAAGGACTAGCAAACAAAAGAGGGAACCCGTTAAGGAACTTGGTTCTTTAAAGTCCTTGACCTGTGATGGTGTTCTATGGCGGTAGAGGTTAAGAACTCAAAAGGTGCTGTGGGGCCGAACATTTGATCCAGCAATTTCGGAGATGGCAGGCATGAGACAAATTCTGGAGATTGTGGAGTTTCAACAATGGGAACACCTGTTTGAAGGGAGCATGCCTCTGGTATACGAAGATGCAGTGCAAACCTTCTATGCATCGCTTTTTACTGTTAAGGTGGATCACATCCGTGTGTTTGTAAATGGAGTGGATATCGTATTCGACGCCTCAACGTTGGTTAAAATTCTCAAAATTCCGTGTGAAGGTGTGTCCTCAGTTAAGGATCTTTGTGGAATAAATTTTCGGAGAGCCATCATGAAAGAGCAAGCTATTCAACAGGGGGAACAGGTCCATAAGAAGGTATTGCTTCCTGAATACCAGCTTCTCTTTGAACTGGTCAATAAAGTACTCCTACCCCGCTCTGAGAGGCGCTCCATTGCTAAAAAATCAGATTTGGTCCTGATGAAGGCGCTTGATGAGTTTGTGCCATTCAATTTGCCAGCAATCATGATAGATCATATGCAGAAGATGGCAAATTTTAAGGGTGGAAATCATGGATTACCTTATGGATTTCTCCTCACTCAAGTGTTCAGATTCTACAAGGTCCCCTTGGGAAATCCTAGAGTAGGCACACGCAAGCAGACCTTCTCCAAGACCACTCTAGAAGAATGTGAATGTATAGAAAAAGTTGGTGGGAGCATCTCGACCATTTCTCAGCTGATAAACGCCCAGAATGTAGCCTCCGAGGAAATACAAAGGCTGAGGGCTCGAAATGCCATTCTAGAAACTCAGCCTAGCCAAGCAGCTAAGGGACCTGATTCTGTACATGAGGAGGCTGCTAGACTAAGAAAGGAAAATGAGAGACTTCGGGCTCAACTACTTGAAGAACAACTGGCCGCAAATGCTAGACTGGACCTGGTTCTCAAAACCATTGTTGTCTCTTCCTCCAAGCCTCCCTCCCTTAGTGATCCCTAGGATCCTCCTTAGTGTCTAACTATATTTGCTCCAACTTCATGTGGCTGCTGTTTTAGTTGTGTTTACTTGTTTTTGTTTTGTGATGGCATGTTGAACTTAACCATTACTGCTCCTGACTTGCTCAGTCCAATGTAAACATTAATGAAACAGCTCCCCTTTTCTTGCATATACAACACTGTGTTCCTCTGGCTTCTCTTTTGTGTCATGTTGTGTGCACATATGAGGCATGAGCTAGCTGTGTTAGACTTCTTTATGCTTATTACCTGCTTGTGCTCTTCTACATAGCTGTTCTTTTTAATGATGCCAAAAGGGGGAAAATTAGATTAAGGGGGAACGTCTTCTGGTACTAAGGGGGAACTTACTTCGTGTAGTTCTGTTTGCAAGTAGTTCTAGCATGGGAATTAGATTAAGGGGGAACGTCTCGTCTGGTTATTTATGCTGTAAACAAATGATGTCCATACTTAAGTTTGCCATCATCAAAAAGGGGGAAATTGATGGGTTTTACAAACCTTATGCTTCTTGTGTTTTGATGATCTAAAAACTTATCGTAAAGAACCAGATAGAGAACCTGCTCCACATGATACACATCTCATATGAACTGGTCGAAGCTTGAACATCAGCAAATGGATGGACGACCACATGGAGGAACATAACAGGGACCCAATGACCTGGTCCATTAGGGTTCTCCGACAAAAGCACAAGTCAGTGACTGTACACATTCAAGATAAAGAGAAACACAACTTCTCTGACAAAAGTACACGTCAAAGTGCACAGCTGGAACGTAGCAGAAGAAAGTCCATCAAGCAACTGCTACAAAAGAGGAACACAACTAGGACCTGGTCCATTGACATGTCCTAAACCTGGTTCATCTATATGTCCTGACAGAAGCACAAAGTCCAGCTGGAACACACCTGCCCAGAAGTGGCTGTGCAGACAGTGCAGCAGTCACTTCCCACTGACAAGAAGTACACCAAGAGTTGAAACCACTATCTATTGTGATATCCTTTGTGATAAAACAACCTGGTACATGACACACCAACTTGTGCATTTCAGTGATACTCTCTCAAGAAGAAGAAGCATCCATCCAGCACTGAAATCACCGGTGTGTCAAGAACAAGAAGACAACTCCACTAAGGATCAGTTTCTAAACGAAGTCTTATGTATATTCATAGTTGAGTTGTAATCTTGTTATTTGCTTTACATTGTAATTCCTATTTTGCTTTCTTAGAAGCACTGCTTTAGGAACAAACCAAATCCGTAAACTTTTGAGTTTGCGTTGTGACTAGGAATAGTCATAAGTTGAATCCTCTGTAACTAGGAGAGTTAGAGAGTGGCTTGTGGTGGTGCATCACAAGTTAGTTTGAAGTCTTTGCAAAAGGGAGTTACCAAAGTAGCTTGTAATAGGTAGATTACAAGTTAGTTGAGTTTAAAGCCTACAGGTGTAGGTCGTGGTTTTTTGATCCCCTTGTGTGGAATTTTTCCACGTAGAAAAACCTCTGGCTTCCTTTACATTCAGTCTTTACTGCTTTCAACGTATCAGTCTCATAGAGGACCAGGTACTCTATAGGTTGGCGGACTCATACAGGCTAACAACTCAGCAGCTTCCACGATGTCGGGATCCTTGATAACGTCCATCGGTACGTCGAGTTTGGTTCCCAATATCGCTAATTGATATGCTTTCGCTTTCGCTCCCTTTAGTTGTTGGGTGTGTGTGCAATCCTAGGCGATGCGATAGCATTCTTGTGCGGTGCGTTGTTCGCCCCGGATGCTAAATATTCCCCATGGAGTAGGGAACTTGATTACTTGGTAGAGACTTGACAGGACGACTCGCATGGAGTGTATCCATGGGCGCCCTATGATGGTGTTGTTGGTTGTGTCTTGATCCATGACGTGAAATGTTGTTTCCGGGGTGACTCCTCTGGCTAGGACAGGTAGCACTATTTCTCCAGAAGTTCGCTCGACTGCATTATTAAAACCCGTTAGTGTTATGCAACGCGGTATTATTTTATCTTCGAGCCTCATCTGTACGAGGACTCGAGGATGGATAATACACGCGCCTCTTCCGTCGTCCACCATTATTCTTTTCACATCAGTGTCTGCAATACATAAAGTAATAACAAGAGCATCGTAGTGAGGGAAAGACAAATCGTCGGTATCTGACTTGTCGAAGATGATACTATCTTCGAGGTCATCATACCGTTTATGAGTGATCGACCGTTTGAGTTTGTGTGTAACGGTGAATTTTACATGGTTGATTGCTGTCCCGTCACCTCCATCGATTATCATTTGTATGGTACGAGCGGGAGAGGGCGTTTTTGAAGATCCCTGGGATTGTTCGCGTCCGCGAGCAAAGTTGGCTCGTCCTCGGACGCTCATAAGTTCTCTCAGGTGTCCCTGATTTAGCATTCTCACTACCTCCTGCCGCAGACCTATGCAGTCCTCGATTTTATGACCTCGTTCCTGGTGGAATTCACAGAGGACATTCGACTTCCGAGTACTTGGATCGAACTTCATCTTTTGCCGCCATTGTACCTTCGTGCTGAGCTTCTCCAGTGCGTACACTATCTCTGAGGGGGAAATACAAAAATTGTGAGCAGATAAGAGCGGAGGCATACCTCTTTTGTTTTGCTGTGCCGCGGTATGCCGAAGAGGCCTATCCGAATTCCGTGGGGGAGGTGGGATGGATGTTCTGATGTAGGGCCGATGTCTATCTCGGCTGAGGCGGGGACCCATCTGATCCCTTCGACCATCATTACAACAATCATTCCTTGTTTCTGCTTGTACTGACGTTAGCCGTTGGATCGGGCCATTGAGATCATCCTCGTCGGCCCTTACCTCGGCGCAGTAGGCGTTGTGGATTTCTTCCAAAGTGGTGGGAGGGTATTTCATGAGCCTACTTAATAGCTTTCTGGTTGCTCTCGACCCAAGCCTGCTCAACCCGTTCTGGAAGGCCGCTGCCGCCATCCCCTCTGATACATTCGGTAGGTTCATTCTCACCCTGTTAAATCGGGCTAGGAAGTCCTTGAGTCCCTCGCCGGTCATCTGCCTAACGGCGAATATGTCATTTACCCTGGCTTCTGCCTTTTTAGCTCCTGCATGAGCGGTGATGAACTTATCCGCCATTTCCTCGAACGTGGCTATTGACCGCGGCGGTAGTTGTGAGTACCAGGTTAGGGCTCCCCCTGTTAGGGTTTCGCCGAATTTTTTCAGTAGCACTAATGGTACTTGTTCTTTCGAAAGATCGTTGCCTTTTACGGCTGTGACGTAGTGGATGATATGATCTTCTGGGTCTGTAGTCATATATTTTCAAGTATGGTGGCATTTTGAAGGTTTTAGGTATGGCGTGGGGGGCTGCTTTCTCGTTGTACGGTTGCTCAATGAATCGACCGACGTCCCGTTTTGGTAACAACTTTGGGGAGCCTGGTATTTTATCGACCCTTTCTTGATGCTCCTTCATCTGGTCACGGAGTGCCTTGTTCTCATTTTCCATTTCCTCCACTTTCTTTAGAATGGCTACGAGTGCGTCATTACCTGCATCATCAGTGGCATGAGTGTTACCTGTTCGGGGGGCATCTTGTTCGCCAGCGATTGTCGTGACATCTACGTGCGCAACGTATCTATTCTCCCTTTGAGCGGGTTTATCCACTATGTTGTTCAGAGTGTTTGTTAGCCATTCTTCCAGTAGTCTTTTTACCGCCGGTGGTGCCTCTCCTGTTGTAAACGTGGAGGCTTCCTTTTCGCGCGAAGCAGTTACGCTTTCGCATGGGGGAGGCGAAGCGTCTGTCCTAAGTGTAGCGTTTGGTGTCGCGTTTTCATTGTCTTCCCTACCGTCTTCGTTGATGGTGTCCAGGATGTTGGTTGTGACACCCGCTATCACTTTTAACCTTGCATCTCTTTTTCCTGCCATTGTTAGTTTATGCAAAGCTAGGGAAAGATGGCTATCCCTTTTTATGATCTAGATGAAACTAAAATTTTAACTAAAGAACTCCCCACAGACGGCGCCAAATTGTTTGACCAAAACGTATTAAACCTTTTGATTAAATCAATTAATGATGAGAAGAGGAGTGAATCTTAGTTAAGGATAATAAATCTAGACCAAATGATAGATAGAATAGACAAAATGAAAGACGTTAGTCGATATGTTTGAGTCGATTAAATGCTCAGAAATGCAACAACTTAAATGTGCAATCAATTTAAGTAAACGCAATCGACGTAATCATGGGAAGTTGCTACCCAATTATTGAGATCTTTCGGAAAGCTTCTTCTCTTGATAACAATGTGGAACGAAAAGAGATATGAGATGATTGAGTAATCTTTGGACCTTGACAATGTAGAACAACGATGTATAATTTAGTAATGCAATCAATGAATAAGGCCTTTCTAGTATATTCTCTCAGACAAATCTTTTACAAAGTGTTCTTTTGTCTCTTGTTTGGAATCCCTTTTTCTTTGCTAACTCTTCCTATTTATAAGGGACAATCTCCCAAGAAACCCTAAAAAGTACAACATAAAGAATATTCAAAAAGCATATTCTTACTGTCTCCCCCTACGTTTAAACTACCGTTAACATCTCGTTTCGACTGACCGCTCTTGGTCGTCATCCTTTATCACGACGACCATCAGACGTTGCGTCATAATAACCTCGTTCCTCGTCTTACTTGGTTACTATCGTAGTTGCCAAATTTGGACCCTTACAATAATATCCTTTTAACTCCGAGATGGTAAACTTGTAGCATGGGGATCCTTTTTGGTTCTAAAAAGGAAAAAGGGCAAGGTGTCAACTAAAATAGATTCTTGGGGGAGTCATGTGACCAAATACAAGGGTATGATGGTGTCAACTAAAATACCTGCCATCGAGTCTCTGTCCCACGTGGAAGTAACTCAATCTTCCGATCTCTCAACCTACAAATACGCCCTTCAAACCTCAAACCTGGGATCGCCACTCCCCCCTATTTCCACACTCCATACATTTTAATTAAGGTTCCTCTAATTTTCCTACAACTACACATGCCTAATTACCCTCTAATTTTCTTTCACTTTTTCTTCTTGTTCTAATCTTATCTTTTCTCTGAATTTTTGTATAAAGTAGGGAAAAAGCTTTGCATGTGTGACATCATTGTAAAATCCCAAGGTTGGTCGATCAAATTCATATACTTTGTGTTCTTGGAACAGTTGCACAGCTGGTAGTAATTGCCTCAAATAATAAATACAAACAAGGCCATTTTAATAATTTATTGTATTTTAATTTGGATGGAGTGAATTAGAAAGAAATGATGGCTCCAAGCACAAATGTGTTACCCTGTAATGGAGAAATGGAAAATATATCAGAAAATCATCAAGAGGAATGTGGTCATTCAAGCCACTTAAATATAGGGAAGCCACCAACAGGGATGCGGCATTGTATCAGCCAAGCTACCTTGGCAGCTACTGCTTCTGCATTGGTGAGTCAATTTACACTTAACAATTCATATAAGAAGAATTCCTTGCTTAACATGATCTGTTTTTGTACATTTTATGACCTAAATTTAGAAGCTAGAGCAAGATATCCAGGAGCTTATGTAGTAGGGCATAAAAGGAGCAAAATGCATATGCTATAGGCACTGGTTTCACTATCATTAGTGATACACCTGATTTCTAGTTTCTTACTAGTAAAAAGAGGTATAATAAAGAAGATCTGAAATAAACAACAATAACGCCTCAATCTCAAGCAAGTTGGGGTCGGCTATATGAATCCTTATTGTCCATGTTGCTCCATGTAAGCACAGCTTGTCCCAAGCTAGCACTATAATTATCTATATGAATCCTCATTTGTTTTCATTGAACATTTCCTTTTTTATTCTCCTTCAGCTGTCAATTTGTGCCCCAAATAGGGGTAAGGTCTGCGTACACGCTCCCCAGACCCCACTTGTGAGATTATACTGGGTATGTTGTTGTTGTAGCTGTCAATTTGTGCACACTGCAGCTTCTGCAAGCTTGTAGCCATATAGATTGTTTAGCTGGAGAAGCATCTTATATGCAGTCATGTGTTTATGAGTTTGCTAATTGAAAATTTATCTTTGATTTATGAAATACCTAGGATTCACAAATTCTTGCTCTTAAATCATCACCAAGTGACGATTCAGGATACGTTCCCATCTTTCGCTCAGGAAGCTATTCTGAGATGGGACCAAAACCATACATGGAAGACGAGCATATCTGTATCGATGACCTGCGGGAACACATTGGCGCATCCGAGGGGCTTCTTTCTCCGGGGGCATTTTATGGGGTCAGTAACCTTTAATTTATTCCAAACTGTACCTTTTGAGAAAAGACTAAAGTCCACATATATTTTGTTGGAAACTATTCATACAAAATGTGAAAATACCCTTTTTTAGAAAAACAAAGTACCCAGGGGCGGGTCTACTGCAATAGGTACGGGTTCACGTGAACCTAGTAACTTTTGTTTAGATCCTGTTTTTGTTTTACAAAGTCCATTATGTTTTAAGAATATTTAGCTTGGAATTCAGTTCATTAGTCCGATTATTAGCGTATATTAATTTGAAATCGTTTGGGAACTCATAAGCTTAAAATCCTGGATCCGTCTCTGAAAGTACCCTATTTGACTAATATGGCCGCTAGCACCTGGAACGAGTAAAATGCGGATGTCACTTTGTAACAGAGTAAAATGTGATGTCACTTGACTGTTTCTTCATCTTGTACCATATCCACGTACAAGTCGTAATTTTAAAATTATAGCGTGAGCATGATATCATGAGTAACACTCTTCGGCTTTGATGTGATATGCAACTGTTATCGCGGTTTCACTAGTTGTTATCAGCTGGAAGATAATTACTTGAAGAATTTTAAGTTCCTGGTACTTGTTAACCCTTTTAGTTTATTCAAGTTGCCTAATAAGTTCTTATTTGAGTACTTTCAGGTGTTTGATGGTCATGGTGGTGTTGATGCTGCGTCATTCACCCAAAAGAATCTCCTAGACTTCATTGTAGAGGATTCGCATTTTCCATCGATGGTCAAAAGAGCTATCAGGAATGCTTTTAAGAAAGCTGATAGTGCACTCGCTGATACAAAATCACTTGATAATACCTCTGGAACAACTGCTCTGACCGCACTTATGTTAGGACGGTAAGTGATGACCTACATTTCTAAATTGCTAATGTCTGGTAGGAGCATAATGCATCCATGCCGTGTCTGTCCCTAACAAATTGTTTATAAAGAGTTTGAATATGCTAAAACATATCTGCCTATACGGCTTTGGTCTAGTGGTAAGAGCGCATCGTGTGATGTATGGGTTAGTCACACGTCACGGGTTCAGACCCTGCCGCAATCAAAAGCTAGGTATTTAAGTAGATACGAGTAGAGGGGAGAGAGCTTATTACCGTCCGAGTTTCGAACTGTGGCCACCGGACATCGGGGATTTCTTCGTTTTAAAGAAAAACAATATAGATGTTTAGATCAAATTCAGGAATGCTTTAGTTCAAAAGGGAGAAACATTCAGAAACTTAAAGACAAAGTTCATCAAATTGGAGAGCGTTTATAATTAAATAAAGCAGATTTGGGGAAAAAATGGCGGAGTCACAGATGAAAAGGTCGTTCTATGTTCTTGTTTGAAGCATTGCGATCTCCTGGCTAAGCTTCTTCTTAACTTTGGATGAATATTTTGTCCATGTGTGAATCGTTAAATCTAACAACCTAGTTTTCATTACTGCCTAAAGATTCCTTTTGTTCTTCATGTAGAAGGGTTTTTGTTATCAGCTTTAGCCTTAAGATTACATCCAACGTCGAGGCAGATATGTCTCATTCTTGAAATATAGCTCGATTAGTTCTAGTTCTTATTTACAATGCCACATATGCACTTAGATAACTCAGTTATTCATCCATCAATTGTTCCATCCCCTTTATCCTTCTCATTTATCACAACAGGAAACTTGCATTCATTTATTTGTTTTCTGCTGTGGTGATTCACAGGACCATGGTTATTGCGAATGCTGGGGACTCTCGAGCTGTACTAGGAAAACGAGGAAGAGCGATAGAATTATCAAAGGACCACAAACCAAACACTAATTCTGAAAGATTACGAATCGAGAAACTAGGGGGAGTCATTTATGACGGTTATCTCAATGGCCAACTCTCGGTTGCACGAGCTCTTGGTGATTGGCACATAAAGGGTTCCGAAGGTACAAAGAGCCCCTTAAGCTCGGAGCCAGAGTTGGAAGAGGTGATCCTATCCGAAGAGGACGAGTTCTTGATCATGGGCTGTGACGGCTTATGGGATGTCATGAGTAGCCAGTACGCTGTAACAATCGTGAGGAAGGAACTCATGCTGCATAATGATCCCGAGAGGTGCTCGAGGGAGCTTGTCAGGGAGGCACTAAAACGTAACACGTGTGATAATCTAACTGTACTTGTAGTCTGCTTCTCTCGCGATCCACCCCCTCGAATTGAAATACCAAGAACTGAGAGGAGGAGGAGCATATCAGCCGAAGGATTGGATCTTATAAAGGGTGTCTTGAGTGACATAGAAAGCAGATTTTGATCAACTGTTTGTACAGATGAATTAGCCTACTTACTACATTGTCAGGGATTTTTCTGAGTTTTCTGCTGTCCATGGCAATGGTTAATTGTTGTTGATATGAAAGAAAAGGAGCCTCCAACAACTCAATTTTGATTTATTCAATTGTCACTGTTACTATTCCTTGAATGTGTGTGATCATCCTAATAACTCCAAATGAATTAACAACAACCCAGTAATAATCTCACAAGTGGGGTATGGGGAGGGTAAAGTGTATGCAAACCTTATCCCTACCCTAAGCCCTTACTCCTGAGGATAGAGAGGCTGTTTCCGGGAGACCCTCGGCTCAAAGATAATCTGTAACATCAGCAGAAAACAGCCAAATAATATCAGCACCGTAAGCGACAACAAATAAGTAGAAGGACAATACTTATGGTAATAATAAAAATTGAAAATAAAAATAAGAAATAAAAAGTGTGATGGAACATAGAGCGCTAGCAGTCCTATACAAAACTGTCACGATCCCAACCCCGGTCGTGATGGCGCCCAACACACTGCTAGGCAAGCCCGACCAATTAACAACCTTAACCCAATTCATAATACAGTTCATTATTAGCTAACACAATTAAATTACCAAACCAACATAATAGAAGTCTGAAATAAGAGTTAAATGTGCGGAATTTCAAATGACAATACTACTACATAGCCCAAAAGATCCGGTGTCACAAGTCTGAGCCTCTAATATAGGTTTATCAACCTAATACATGTCAATCTAGGGGAATACGAAATAAAAACAAGGATAGAAGGGAGAGATCAGGGCTGCGGACGCCATGCAGCTACCTCGATGCTCCCAGATATGCGCTGCTCAACAGAAAATCCTCACTCAGCCTCAGGTGCACCAAGATCCGCACGCAAGGTGCAGGGAGTAATGTGAGTACTCCGACCCAGTGAATAATAAACATAAATAAAGGCTGAGAATAAGAAATCCTGGATAAACACATTGTAATCTATAATACGGCAGTTTAAACCAAGTAGTATGAAATCAATAAACTAGTGAAGTAGAAACATGAAAATGCTACAACAGATAAGCAAATAAATGATAGCCAAATAAAGGAATGCAACACATAGTACGGTACTCTCTAGTACCCGCTGCGGCGTGCAGCCCGATCCATTTATT